GATATATGCAGATATATACAACTACACAATGTGGGGTGGAGAATATAAGAAAAGACTTACTACTGATAAGACCATGCCGTGGTGGTACACCGTGGGGTTTGTCTTGGAGATTGGAATAACTGGATGTGTGTAAACAGTGTAAACAGCGCAGTCCATAAATAATGGGACAGGGACTTTTTTTGTTATTTTGGCTCTTGCAGCATATTGGATTTGAATAAAAGAATGACTATATAGCTAAAGTGCAGAATGTCAGGTGGTGGTATATACATGCATATTGAGTGAAGCAAGCAAAAAATAGGGTCATTTTTAGACATAGCCTTCAAATTTCAGTCCAAAGGCAGCATGGATAAGTGGCTCATAAGTCGTTTCTGGGCAGGCTGTGTGCCACTGCATCATTATTTGCACAAGAGGCCTAACAAAAGGTAGAAGAGTGATCATCCACCCTGGTCCTGCAGATCTACCATCCTGCAGGGTTTATTTTCAACCTCAACCTTTAGCATCATCACAGAGGTGTTTAGGTTTTCCTAATTTTTGACCAAGTTTGGACATTTATGGTCTGAACTGAAGCTTTTATAGTCATGGTTCACCACTGAATATTTCTCATTATTAGATTGTGGTAAGAATGTTGTTGGAATATGCAACATTTTTCTAGGCATTCCTAGATATTTTTACATGTTTTATTATGTGAAATGATCTTACACTGGCAAGCAACTGTGCCTGAAGGAAGTAATAATTAGCTTTGATCATTTGTGATGTCTAGAAATAGGCAAAATAATCTTATAGTATTCTTACAACATGATGAAAAACTTATAAAAGATGTATTATCAACATTTAAGATACTGTCACTTTCCATAACTTCATTATTGGAGGTTAGAGATGATCCTGCCATTATTTCTCAGTGAGTGGTCAAGTATGTTGGGACAAGGATGGGACAGTCAGAGGGAGCGTCCAGATCATCAGCTGATCTGCTACGCCTGTTCCTGGGTTTCTTCTTGTCTATTTATCCCTGCTTTTACCCAGTAGGCTGTGAGATGACTAGAGGCTACAGACACATGTACACAAGTATTTGCATCTGGAGCTGAAAAGCTGGAGCTGTTTGTTTTTGTTTGTGTTGCTTACGTCATTGGGAAGTCAGGACGAGTTTAGTGTTTGCCTCTGGTCTCCCTGAAAGGATGCAAAGATTTTTGGTTGATTTCAACCTCCCTGCTCCTGCCTGGGTTCTCCTCTGAGTTACTGCTGCATTTGCTATAGCTAGAAAGCAGCTCATCTTTAGGCTGAAAAATCAGAGTAAATGAATTAAAGACGTCAAAGGCCAAAATAAAGAGAGTGTCAGTCAACTACTTTGTACATTGTTAGTGTTGCTAAGGAAGAATGTACTGGTGAGCTTGCCAACAGTAAATGCATTGGTGGACCACAGAACTACATGATTGAATAATGTTTACAAAACCTTTTAACCCTTTACTGCATGAATTATGAAATGTGCAACTCACTTATAAAAAAGTGTAACTTCCCACACATTGTATTTACTTTTTTCTTTCAAAGTTGCTAAAAAGTAACATTCATGTTCAAGAAAATAAATAAATAATAACCAAAAATAAATAAATAAATAAATAGTGTTATATTATGTTATTTAGTATACAACCACAGGCCTCAGCAGGAAGATAAATTCTGATGTGTACAAATGCATCTTAATAGCTTGTATTCAACTAAATGTCCCAGAATTCACTGGTGGATCACCACAGCAGGACCTAAAACACAACATGCGGTATTTTCTTGACAAGCCAGTCAGTCAGTCACTCAGCCTGAACCCCCTGAGCATGCATTTCACTTACTGGAGGCAAGACTCGAGGCAAAAACCCCTCGGAACTGAAAAAAGATTGCATTACAGGCTTGGCAGAGCATTGCCAGGGAATGATTTCAGTGCCTGGTGATGTCTAGAGTTTGCAGACTACTGACTGCAAGGGATTTTAAGCAAAGTACTAAACATGACAATTTTTAAAAATTTTTCATGGTTATAAATTGTTGATTCATCCTATTACTTTTGGCACCCTGAAATTAGAACAGTATATAGGAGGTGTCTAATCCTGATCCTGGAGATCTACCACCCGGCTGAGTCTAGCTGCAATCCTTATCTAACATACCAGACCCATGTAAAGAAGTCCTTCAGGGGCATCTGCACATTAGAAAAAGGTGTGCTAGAGCTGAACTTTCCAGGGTGGTAGATCTCCAGGATCAAGACTGAACCCCCCGACTGAGCCCCCCGACCTATATGGTTCACTCAGTGTAAATGTAAATCACCTCAAATTAAAGCTGACAATCTGCACTTTTTTCATACTAAATCCAGTATGCTTAGCTACAGAGGTAAAACCATAAAAGTAACTGTCCAATTATTTATGGACCGCACTACAGGAGGGGTGTCAATCTCCTCCAGTTGAGGAGAGCCAGATTTGACATACCTGACCTGACTTGACTTTAAGTCTTTAAAGGGCTGAATGAGATTTGTTTTGTCTGGGGAAACACTAAACTGTACAGTGTTGTGTCTCTCTGGGTCTGACGTTTGATTGGCCTGCTCAGGTTGGATAAGGAGAGGTGATAACGGGCAGATTGTGCATCATTCAGAACCATGGACAGCTGCGTGATTGATGTGGGAGATGCCAGTGAACCTTATAGTTCAAATGGACACTGTAGCTCAACTGGTCATGAACCTCTAGGGTCAGTTACTCGAAGAGGGATTAACCCCTTTAAATGCCAGAATTGTTACACACTTAGTCTTATTATTCAGTGTCTACAATGACTTCAGTGCAGTCAAACTTTTCGGTAACAGTTTATTTGGATGACCTACTGTAGATGCTCTGTAGAAGCTCAGTCTACATTTAACTAATGTTCATTTAATATCTGTTAAATGAAAGTGAACTTGAAGTTGTATTTGAACAATTCTATTAAATCTAGCCCTAAACCTAACCCTAACCACAAAGCAAAACCTACACCTACTCCTAGACCAAACCCTAACCTCAACATTGTTGATAATCACCAAAAAGTTGGTTAATAACATAAATATGTGTGGATCATCTATAGGGACCATCCAAATAAAGTGTGACTTTTCTTAGGTTAAAGAAGTGTGTAATAAAACTTATTCATGCCATTGAGCCCTGGCCATGTAAAGGGGAACTCCACTGATTCTGAAAAATTACTTAATCTTTCAATGCTTTAGATGTAAAGAAAATCATTCAGAATGGTTTGGTGTGAAACGCGCCTGTCTAGAGAAATTTACTGAGTCAAAATTGTTCACCATTGTAGTGGTAGGAACCAGAGATCATAATGTCTACACTACAAATACCATCATTTTATCTGCTATCCAAAACAACCCGTGAACTTACATGTGTCTTATAAGGTTTTATATGTTAGGCTGATAATGGTAAAATAGTGCTAGTTCCTTGACTTCTTACTTTGCCTTTTCCATCAGTCTGCATTGCACCCGCCAGCATCATCAGACATGCATATTCATCAGATATAACACTATTGCCTATTTATTTAAGTGTTATAACTGCTAAATCATTTTTAAGGTGTTTACGATCTAATTAATAACCATTAATGAACTAATCTGAAACTGTTCATAATCCTTTTATAAGGGCAGTCTTATTGAAGTTGTACCAGTTTCCACAAACTCACCACAGTTTTAAAAATCCAGTTGCTGGAAAAAATATATTATTAGACGCCACAATACAGTTTCAGAATACAGCTGTTTTCAAGATGAAACAAAATAAAAGACTCAGGAGTGTTTCCTGCTTTGAATAAACAATTACAGTGGTAATTTGAGTCCAACTGGTTAAACAGTGCATTTACATGTTTTGAGTTTCTTCATCAGAGCATCCTTCATGTTTTTTTTTTCAGAAAATGTACTTAAAACGTTGTGAATGACTAATAATATGCAACCTGTTTATGAAAAAGAGGCTGAAATATTCCACAATAACACAATGACAGTGATGACAGCGAAATCCAGAGTGCTGAATGTACACTTTCTATGTATACTGTCAGAGTGAATTCAGCACCGTAGGGGTTATTTCACCACTGTAGGTGTTAATTAAACACTATCTGTAAAATATAATGATTTATTTTTTCTTTAAAAGGTTCAAAATGAATTAGTGGTCATTGACATTTCCTTTTAGTCCTTTAAATTTGGTGTCGCATTATAAATCTTTCATGTACACATTGAGTCGACTGTACTGATGAAATTTCACTTAATCTGTTCATTCAGCAAAGTCCCCAGTACTGAACTACCATCTACACATTAAATACCGTCTACGTGCAGTATTGAATGATTTCTTACAGTGCTGATTTAATGTCAGCTGGGCGTGAATTAACTTAATGGGATCCATTCAAAGCTGTAGGTGTTAATCCAACAGTGTGGGTGTTAACTGTGTAAGAGTTCATTTATGTCCAGCTGGGCACAAGTAAAGCCTGTAGCTGCTAAACCAAAATTGAATGTAGTCTTCATCAGAAGTCGAGCTGGACACAAATCACGTTTCTGGTCTTCATTAGCCACTGTGTGTTAATTCAGTAATAGAAATGTTGTTTTGCATCCAGCTGGGCACAAAGAAACCTTACTTTGAGTCAATTCAGCACAGTTTGCCTTGCAATTTACTTACTACAGGCAACAACTGCATTAATGTCACATAGTTTATTTGCATGAAAAAGATGCACTCTACCAGTCAAAAGTTTGGACACACCCACTCATAGAAGGTATATTCTTATTTTGCCATTTTTCACATTGTAGAATAACAGTGAAGACATCACAACTATTAAAACACTAATAACACTAACAGTTAAAAATTTCTTCTGTTTTAAATTCTATGACAAATACTTCCCCTTTTTCTTTATATATATATATATATATATATATATATATATATACACACACACCCTGGGGTCCAAAAGTCTGAGACTACCCACTAGTGAAAATAGTTCTATTTTGCATTCCTTTCTAATTCAATATTCTCCTCTCCACAATTTTGTGTAAAAGCTAGATCAAAGATCAAATCCTCCTGAGAGTCTTCTGGATACGAACTTTAATGGAAGAGATAATTCCAAAAAAAATATGAATAACAAATAAAAATGACCTTTTATACCAAGGCCTCAACATGGTCAGTATCACAAAATTGCTTAAATTTCAGTAGTTACTTAGAAATGGTGCCGAATCTTGAATCTTGAACCTTTTACTCGTCATAACGTGTCCTTGTTTTACATTTTTGATGAGGTCTCAGACTTTTGGAGTCCTCTATACAAGTATGTATGTTGCTGCAAACAAGTCTTGCTTGGGCACTTAAGTAAATTGCACCAAGGCAACATAAATGCAGTAATAAGTAGCAAGAATTTGTTGGTTAGAAGAGCACAGGCTTAATTTATCGACTTCTCTGTGAACTCCCACCATTGCATGGATTTGTTAGATTCCCCCAGCAGCTCACTTGATTGCTTTAATGAAGGACTGATTAGCTGAACCAGGTATTGGATGATAGCTACATACAATGCTGAGCGTCCTGGAGTGTTGAAGAGGGATGGAAATGGTTAAGCAAGCATATTAACGCCTATAGAGTTTTGCACAGGACTGTGTATGTGTGTGTGTGTGTGTCTGTCTGTGTGTGTGTGTTATAAATCAGAATCATAGGAATCAACCTATGATAGGTGCCAATAGCCTGTCAAATTTCATGTTTTCCTTTTCTGCATCTGCATCATTATGAAAAATGCATATTCAGTTAGGTATGTCCAAACTTTTGACTAATAGTGTGCACATTGGAATAAAGTAAATGAAGTGCAGAACTGTTTAAACTGTATTAATCCAATAACGAAAGAGTGAATTCAGCCCTCTGTGTGTGTCCTCAGCCCTCCGTGTGTGTCCTCAGCCCTCTGTACGTGTCCTCAGCCCTCTATATGTGTCCTCAGCACTGTGTAGGCTTTGTGTGTTCCTTCAGCATCATATACGGTCCCTCATCACTATGAATGTTCCTCCAGCCCTGTTTTGTTTCCTTTTGGTTGTGGTCTGTGGAACTCATTGGTGATCATCAAGTCCGCGCAGGTTGGCTGAGGCCCAGTATTTTCTTGAAAGCCTTTCTGAAGTCCCTGTTGAAGACCGTGTAGATGATGGGGTTCACGGAGCTGTTGCAGTATCCGATCCAGAAGAAGAGCTTGAAGAGACCCTCCGGCGCGGCGCAGCTTTCCCCGCACACCGCGCGCAGGCTGTACGTGAAGAAGAAGGGGAACCAGCAGAGCACGAAGCCGCCCATCACCACCGCGAGCACGAACGTGAAGCGCTTCTCGCGCAGCTGCGCCGCTCTGCTCCGGCACGCTCCCAGGTGCGAGCGCGAGCGCGAGGAAGGTGGCGGCTGGTGCAGCGGCCGCAGAGTTGGAATGAGCGCGCGGCTGGTGGCCCAGGGCGCGCGACGGCAACCTCCTCCACTCCCTCCACCTCCTCCTCCTCCACCTCCGCCAGCGGTGCTCGCGCCACCGCTGCCGCTGTCTCGCGTTCTCCCCACGCCGCTCTCCTCCAGGTCGATGTCGTCGAGCTCCTCGCGCCGCGCGTCGCTTCCGGAGCTGCTCACGCTCTCCGTGTCGGCGGCGCGGCGGCGCGCAGCGCAGCCGTCCGAGCGCATCGTCGCCGCCGCCGTCGCCTTGGCCACCGCGGCCGCTATGGTGCCGTTCTGCGCCGCGCACACGGTGGCCGAGCGCTGCTTGGCCACGCGGTAAATCTTGCAGTAGACGGTGACCATGATGAGTCCGGGCGCGAAGAAGGACACGAGCGCGGAGGAGAGGATGTACCACGGCTCGTCGTTCAGAAGGCACTCGCCCTCGCCGTGGCGCGTGACCACGATCGGCGGGAAGGAGATGACAGCAGACACGAGCCACACGGCGGCGATGGCGCAGCGCACCCGCGACGGCGTGCGCTTCAGGTTGTAGCGCACGGCGCGCGTCACCGACCAGTAGCGGTCCAGACTGATGGCGCACAGGTGCACGATGGACGACGTGCAGAACAGGACGTCCAGCGCCAGGTAGAGCGCGCACCACGCGCTGCCGAAGTACCAGTAGCCCATCACCTCGTTGGCCAGCGAGAACGGGATCACGAGCGCGGCCACGAGCACGTCGGCGCACGCCAGCGACACAAGGAAGAGGTTCTGCGGGGCGCGGAGCGCGCGGCTGGTCAGCACGGCCACGATCACCAGCGCGTTCCCAACGATGGTCAAGAGGATGAGGAGCGAGACCACGAGGATGATGAAGGCCGCCGCCACGTCCGCGTGCGGCCACGGCCGCGTGGAGTTGGTGCCGCCCCCGCCGCCGCTGTCGCGCGTGGCATTGAAGTGCGTTACGTCCATGCTGCGCGCATCATCCCGCAGGGGCTCGAGAGGATGGATTGATGGATGGATACGGCTGGACAAGAAGTGACCGCTCGTGTTCCAAAGGCGCGCGGGGTGTTAAAAGGGCTCACTGGCGCGCGGCTGTAGATGTGGGTCCGTGGAGCTGCCCATGCTGGAGAGAGGCTGGAGGACGGAGCAGTTACACAGTGTAGATGATGGACATGGTGGTCAGACTTCCAGTAATCCAGTGAGAGCGGCAGTCCGCGCGAGCCTCGCCTGAGCGCTGGAATGCTCTTTTTCCTTTTCTTTTTCTCTTTCTTCTCTGTGTCCGTTCCGTTTGTCTTTTTCTCTTCGTCTCTCCGAAACTCGCGCTGCTCTCCGGATGGAATGCTGGAATGTGCGCTCCAGCGATAGCGGAGTGGATGACGTCACGGTGAACAACCCACTTCTACACGAACACACGCACACACCACACACACACACACACACGGAGTTATTTATCTTATACCTGAGTGTTATTTATCACGACACGATAAATTGATCATGACATATTAAACACTAATTGTTTAATTTGACCGTTGACCTGATCAAAGAGCAGAAATATTCCATTACAATGTGGAATATTTACTTACAATAAATAAAAGCACTATTAATCCTGCTGAAAGGATCAAAGTGTCGATACACACATTCATCAAAGATTCATCAAATACTTACGCACCTCCTTGTTTCTACACTCACTGTGCATTTTATCAGCTCCACTTACCATACAGGAGTTTGTAGATCTACAGTTACAGACTGTAGTCCATCTGCTTCTCTGCATACTTTACTTTTCTTCAATTGTCAAGTCCCCCGCAGGACCACCACAGGTCCTACATCTACAAGGTGGAACAACAAGGTAGGAGCGTCTAATGGAGTGGACAGTGAGTGGACACAGTGATTAAAAACTCCAGCAGTACTGCTGTGTCTGAACCACTCGTACCAGCACAACACACCACCACCACGTGAGTGTCACTGCAGTGCTGAGCATGATCCACCACCCATATAATTCCTGCTCTGTGGTGGTACTGTGGGGGTCCACAGGGTAAAAGGGGGCAAAGTATGCGAAACAAATGGACTACAGTCTGTAACTGTAGAACTACAAAGTGCTCCTATATAGTAAGTGAAGCTGATAAAATGGACAAAGAGCGTAGAAACAAGGAGGTGGTCATAATGTTTTGGCTGATTGGTGTAAACAGTACTGTGCAAAAGTCAGAGACCACCCTTCGTTTATTTAATTTCCAGTCAAAACAAGCATTAAGTGTCAGTTAAAAAATACACAAACAACATATTTAATAGAAAATTATGCTTCAACAACAAAATATCAAAATTTCAGTATTTAGTGTGCCCACTCTTGACCTTTATTACAGATTCCATTCTTTCCAGTTTTGAAAGGAATCGGCGGAGGTATTTTTCCCACACTTCCAAAGTTCAGCCTTGGAATTTTCTATTTTTCACAGTTCAAATAATCTCAATTACAAACGTAGATTCTTCAGTCTGTAAAACCTTACTTCAAATGTCAGATGTCCAGTTTAGTGTTGTAGTGCAAATGTCCATCTTTTTCTCTATTTCTATTGTCAGTAAGAGCTTCTTGACAGCTACACATCCTTTAAGACTCATAGTGTTGAGTTGTCTTCTCACAGTGGAAGGATGGACTGAAACCTTTGTGGATTTTCTCAGATCTGACCCCAGACCCACGCAAAAGTGACTCTGATTCTGATTTTTATTAAAGTGGACAATCTTATATTTAATATAATAATTATTATAATAAATGAATAACTTTACCTGCACTCTGTATGAGAAGAGAAAAGCCTGATTCTGACTTTATTTATGCTTATCATTTTATTGCATAATTAATATAAAGCTGTGATCAGACAGAAAGATCACACAGCATTGATAAGCTCCTTGACTGTTCATCAGAATTAAAGAGAATATTGCACAATGGTGTCTGTAAGAGTTCAGACAGTCAGAAGTGTGAGAATGATTAGAGTCTCCGTCTCTGAGTGCTGCTGACACATTTTTCCTTTGCTGTGTCCTCCCTTTACACAGCAGAGGTGCTGCAGGTCAGAATGCTTCACTGCTTTTTCCACCGCTCTTTGAATATCTCATCTATCTGCACCATCTCTGTATGTGTCTGTTTGTGTATTTAGCTCTTTGTGAGGACCAAATGCCCCACAGTATGTCCAAGAATCATTTTTGAAAATGAGGCATGCGAATGTGAAGAACCTTTTTTCCAATGAATATAAAGGTTCTTCCTATACACTCTTAAAAATTATTCTTCAAGGGTTCTTTAGCAAAGACAATGGTTCTCTATAGAAATATGAACACTCAAGGAACCATATGCATGCTTAAATGGTTCTTTGCATGGTGAAATGGTTCTTCAGATTGATGAATGTGAGAATGTGTTGTATGTGGTTCTACAAATAACTTTTTTGAAAAAAGTTCTACTATTGTTATGATGTTAAGCTCGTTATAACAGAAGAATCATTTTGTTGCTGTATAGAATCATTTCAAAAAGGTGCTATATAGAACCATATACAACACATTCTTCATCAAACTGAAGAACCATTTCACAATGCAAAGAACCATTTGAGCATGACATGGTTCTATATAAAACTCATGGATCTAAACAGAATGAGTCCCTTTACTAAAGAACACTAAAAGAACCGTCTTTTTAAGAGTGTAGTCAGAACATCAGCCAGACATCAGGCAGTCATGAATGTCTGACCGGTCTGTCTCAAAAATCTCTGGAGCTCACCCTTCAACCACGTAGTGGCAATTCAAAATTAGTAGAGAGTGAATTAAGAAAGTTCTAGATATGTGTAGTCTGCTGTTATTGTGGTAGTGATCAAATTAATTTTACTTTTATTAATCAGTCATGGATTTATAATGACGAGTGGTGCTCCATCAAAGTACTTGTCAGGGCATCTTTAGTAATTAATGACTCTGGATAACGTGCGCATACAAGTGGGAGAAAATAAAGCAAGAAACTTTTACACGTCAATTCAAAAAACCTCTCCTTCAAATTTTCAGTGCCATTTCAAGGTAAGACTGAGCTTAACCTCAGAACCTGGATGAAGGAGATCCCCCAGACTAATGAGTAATGAGGTCCACCACACGCTGTTTTCCTGGTAATGAAGGCCAAAAATCTGAAACGAAGGCATTTCAGTGACTGAAGTGGACAAAGCTGTGGTGTTCTGGTGGGAACCATGGGAAACATCTCAAAAGCCTCACTGATCCCACAGAATCTTTCAGCTGTGTGAGAAACTCCGGATCCCATTGCTTGATTTGGGGGATGGGGGTATGGCACGTCTTTTCCACTTTTTTGGGAGGAGTGTGGGGGAGGGGCATGTCCTCTCCACTTTTTGAAATTATGCAAGATAATTTTGGGGGTTTTGGGATGGTTATCAAAAAATGCCCATAGCTGTACAGCATTGCAGAAGAGCTGTCAGATATCAGTTATTATACTGATGTCAATCACAGTTTAAAACTCTAAATAAAGCCAAAACAAGGAGCTGTTTCTTTTAGTTACAAGCAGTAACAGAAAGAAAGATGCACTAAGGTGCCCTGGAGTTGTTGACTGTACTATGATTGTTTGAGACATCATATATAGGTGTAAACAGTTTTATGCTTGAGATATTGTATGAAAACTACAGCTTTTCAGACCAAATTTGCATCCCTGACATCAGAAGCACATTTCCAGCACCTTTAGTCAAGTAACATATTGTGATTTAAACAAACAAACTATAATTTTAAAAAATAAGTACAAATATAATTTTTTCTCTTGAGAAAGTGAATATAGTGCACCTTTAAAACTCATTTAAGGGACCATAAGGAGCACTGTTGTATCTTTGAGGGTGCATTAGCATTTACATTGCTTGTAGGATATAAATGTACCTGTGCAGTGCTGTTTCTTCTTACAGTGTAGAAAAATGTGCTTTGGTGAAGTGTTAGTTACCCAATAGTAGAGTGAAGCCGACATTAAACCTTGCACAATGATGCAAAATCTCTTTCTTTTTCTGCATTTTAATCCTTATTTTTAATCAATGCTGATAGAAAATATAAACATAAGAAGCCCTAATTCCACATACTGATCCATTTTACTTTCACCGACATGGACATGCACACAGCTCAGCTACACTGGGAGCAGATATTAACAAGTTAAAGGGGACAAAGATAAAAACTCTGAGTCTATTAGCTATTGATACATTAGGTACACTCTCAGAAATAAAGACATTAAACTGTCACTGGGGTGGTCTCCTCAAGGGTACATCTCAGTACCTTTAGTCAGGGAACATAACTGTACCATAATCCATTGAAATTATATTTTCTAAGTTGTATTGCCTCCACACACCCCATCTCGTCTCCAGGCTTTTATTTTACTGTTCTGTTTTAAAACATTAGTTAATGAAAAGATACAAATATGTACTTTTTCCACTGGAATAACTTATTTAAGGTTCACAACTGGACGTTAAAACCACGGTTGTACCTTTGAGGGCACATTTGCATTGTTTGTACCTTGACGAACAAAAAATGTACCTGCACAGAACCTTTATTTCAAGCAGCGAGTGATGGGGTTAATAGAGGAGGATGGCTGTGTTGGGGTAATGGGGTACAAAGGTACATGTTACATGCAATTAATTTTTCCCATATTTAAGTAGTTTGATGTGTTATAGCTCATATTTTTATAATCACAATGCAGTACTTATGGCACTCACGTAACTGTCTCTAACAGAGCAATATTAATTTTGTCTGATGCTTTGAAAATATAAATTAACTCTAGATTATCCATATCCATGCCTGTCCTTGAACATGATGTGCAAGCACGGGAAATGCTGAAGTATCTATTCATGCTAATACAAACCTGATGGATAAAGATCCTCGTGCTGAAGAAGAAAGAGAGAGAGCCCCAACCTCACCTATACAGGCCAGACTCAATTTTCTCTCTGGAACAGCTCTGTAAGCATTGCATTTTATTTAGA